CGAGAGCGGTAGAAAGGGTCGAAGTGGCCGTAAGTCGCGGTTGACGTCGGAGTTCCGCGTCCAGGTCAACGAGGCCATCGAACTTATTCCCCTGGAAGACAGAACCGACATCCGTACTTTGGCGAGTAGTCTCGGTATTGCAAAGTCTACGTTACACGACTACTACCAGGCTGGTGTTTTTCGTAGCCATTCTGCACACGCGAAACCTCTACTAACGCTTCAGTCTGTGCTACAAGCATCGATGAGAGTTGACGGCTGCAACAAATACAACATTCCACACCTTTCCAAGGACAAGATGAGAGCAGACACTGGTCTTTTGCTGCCGTCGCTAGCTTGTACTGAGGAGGTGTACAACAGAGCAAAGTCGTTCTTAAGTTCGGTTCAGTTGAAATAAGTAATGGATACACGCACTTAATTCTTATATTTCCGGACAACAGAATTACAGGGACTGCCTTATATTTTCGGACGGAGGAAGTACTTAGCAAAAAGACATGCACCACTCACCATGATCACTCAGCACCCAGGCAAGAGCAAGGCCACACCATCACGGCCGCACGTACAACAGCACTGTTGTCACGTCGTAGTTTGCACCATTATTAATACCCTTCAAAAGTGATCGTTTGGCTGCTGTCACACTATCCACACAATATCCTGTGCAGCCCAAACTCAAAAACGCCCCCTTGGTCGCAGCCCACAGAGAAGCTGCCCTGCAGAACTCTCGCCGCCACTACCCATGAGACGCAGGTCGACGCCGCTGCCGACCAGAGTGTCCCGCCGCCACTGCCGCCCACAGAGATGCTGACGCTGCCGCCGACCACAGAGATGCTTAAGCTGCCCACAGAGACGCTGCCACCGCCCACGTAGATGATGACGCTGCTGCCACCGCTACCGACAGAGACGCGTCCAGCGCCTGCGCGTATGTTGTGCGGTCATCACTCTCCGTCAGGTGGACGCCCGAAGATCAATCGTCGCTCACCGTGGCCCAGCACGTTTACCTCACCACATTCGAGCCCAGCATGAGGTCGTCCAGGTGAAGACAGCACTACACATGTAGGGTATGAATTTAATGGTAAGCACGCATCCTTCAGCCAATTGTTAATATTGATCTTTAACGCAATATCTACTCTACCACTAGCGCTGGGGTGTTGCTGTTTGGACGTCCAGCCTGTTGGCATCCGGCCTTCCGTCGATTTGTGCCGCGGTATTCCAGCTTCTCCCGAGAATCCATGACATGCACACCCCAGACGTGCTTTGCGAGCAATGTGTGCACACACGCTCCATACTTCGCCCAATATACACAAGGACACGACCACTACCGAGTGTTCAATGGCCAACCAGTCGCTGGTATTCCAGCAACTTCCATTCGTGCTGTTAGCTGACCGAGCTGAGCGGTTACCGCCAGATCTTCGCGGGAGAGTTTCGTCTCAGGATCGTAGATACGGGCAACTTACCGAGACACCACATTAACCACATCAGCGCTCGCAGCACCGACGTCATCTGCAGGAGCTTCATTAAGCAAGAAGGCAATAGTTCCGCGTTCTTTGGTGTCTTCGGGGCTCTCTCAGTCATTTCCACGACCCAGAATCCGCTCGCCATATCCAGCGAACAGTACCAGAGCACCTTGCCCATGTCTTCGGGCAGATCGTTGATCAGCGGCGTGGGGTACACCATGAGGCGCGTCAGGCTGTTCACAACGCGGTAATCAATGCAGAGTCTGATGTCGACGCCATTCTTCTTGATTATCACCACGATCGGCGACGCCCACGGAGAGCTGAGCACCCTAATGATCTTAGCGGACAACAGGCCCTTGATCAAGCCGGACAGTTTGCCACGGAACTGTGGTGCCACTCTACGCACGCGTTGAGCTACCGGTTTGGCGTCCCCCATAGCGATGTCGCAGACGACGCCTCCGCAGCGGATGGCAGTGCGTTCCCTTTTCCAAGCAGCAGGTGCTGTCGGCTTCAGATGATCCTCCTCAGGCGATCCACCTCTTCCGGCGTGCTCTTGCCGTCGTTCTCGAAGCACTAAATAAAAAACGTACACATCTGCACTACAACTTGATCCGTCAGGCTGGTGTGAATATGTGTCTCTTGATATACATGAACGTAGTTTTTCCACGAACAGCTCATTCAAAAGGTTTTCGCATTCATCATAGTATTTGGAATTGGAGGGTTGCATACAGTCAAGCAGCACGAGTCCTCGATGATAC